GTCTTTGAAAGTATACCACCTTGAACTTTGACAAGTTTGAAACGAGTCTGACAATAGTAGTTTTATCTTCTGCTTGCAGTTTGTACATTTTGCCATGTTTGCCTAAAACTTCATAATATTCTCTTGTATACTTTCTTCTATTTTTACGAACACGAATGCGAGTACCTGTCGGGTTCCCATTGTTGTCATAGTCAATAGTATTTTCATATGGGTCGCGTTTAGGTTTTCTATTTTTACTTTGTCACCTTTCTTAAGTTTGAAGCCTGGCATTCTTTCTTGTTTGTCTCTTTTGACTAAATTGTTAATATATAAAGTCTTTCTCTAAGTCGGGGTTGTTTTTCATTTCTTCGGGGGAGTGGTTTCCCAAACCTTTTTTTTTACGGTTATTGTAAATATTTAAACTTGTCTCATCTTTGCCATGGAGAAGTGTCTGTACTTGTCGTCATATGACATTTCATTTGCTTCACCACCTTGTGGTTGGTTTAAGTCTCTTAAGATTTTTATACAACTGTCAATGACACCAAGAGCAGAATGGTTTTGGTCGACAATGAAATATTGGTTTACATTTTTTGAACGCAGATAGTTTTTAATATCGTCTGATTTGAAAGAACTTTCACAGTCAGATGTCAGTTTTGTTGGATGGTATTTGTCAACGAATATTGTCAAAGCAGTTTTCACATCTAAAATATTTTTGGCTGTAATGGTATGGCTTCACAGTATCTTGTGTTTTGACCAACAATATTACCAGTATGGAGGTCCATCTTCTCTACCTCGGAATATTTTCCAAGATATCCATAAACCAAGCATTTGGTGTTGAACTAAAGATTTTTATCATGAGTGCTTTCTTTGTCGCTTTAGAAACATAGGGGTCCTTGTTTGGATTCGTCATTTTTTACCCTATAAGAAATGGGTTTATTTGGCGCATTAGCAGGAGTTGCATCCAGATTTTTGCCCGCAGTGGGAACAATAGCCAGAGGTGCATTTGGAATTGGAAGGAAGATTTTGAGTACATTAGGTATACTGAAAGAGAAAGCACAGCCTATTATACAAACTGTACAGAAAGGTTGGGAGGTAGCACGAGATGCAGCAAATCTTATTCCAAATCCTGAAACAAGAGGAAAAGTTCAAGGATGGATGGACAATGTTTCCAGACAAGCAGGAAACTACTATAACAAAGCAAATGACTACTATAACCAAGCAGGGCACTATATGGACCAAGGTGAAAGATTCTTTAAACAGAGGATATAACCATGCACAACAGTGGGTAAACAACAACCAACCGCAACCACCGCCTCAAACGTGGGGAATGTAAATTTTTTTACTGAGATGAAATGAACAATACAGCATTGAGACAAATGGGCTCAAGATGGATTTGTCGACTTCCAGCAGTTACACCACCACGTGTTTGTCAAGTCCTCCCTATACCTCAAGAAGTTTTAGACCGACTTAAAAAACCTAAACAACCAGTTGAAAACAAACCAAACTAAAATTTTTTACTGAGATGAATGACCGAAGAAGTTGAAACGGTAGATTTGACACCACAAACAAAAAGTTCAGAACCATTGTCAAAACCTGTCAAAGAACTTACAGATGAAGAGAAAAATTCAATAATAGAAAGTGCCAGGTCTGGAAATACAAACCCTAACTATAAAGTCACTTTTCATAGAAATGGAACGGCTAGTATCTCAAAAAAGAAACAGACTCTCACAAATAAAATATTGAAGTCTGAAGGAGCTTTCGAGACAACAGATGGAAAAGTTTACTTCACTGACCAACAGTTCATTATAGAACATCTCATTGACTTAGAGTCGAAATATTCTAAACTTTACAACAAACACAAAAAGTTGAAAGGAAAACAAAAACAAATGGCATATGATATTTATGAAGATGTTGACGACACAACCATACCTGCAAGTGAGGTAAAGTCAGATGAACCGAAAAGTGACGAAAAACCAATAGAAGAAGAAAAACAAAAAACTGAAGATAAACCAAAACCAAAGGTTAGTTTCAATACTAAAAGTCAACCTTCATTAGCTGGTATGGGTTGGCGTCAAAGACTTCTGGTAGCAGGAGGTTATGTAAAGTAAAAGAAAAAAATATTTTTTTATTTTTATAAAAATGCCCCCGTATAGAATGGATAGAAAATCTGCTAGAATAAAAGCAGAGTTAGAAAGATATGGTTGGAAAGTTTCGAAGAATTTTAAATATAGGAAGGGAAGACCCATAAAAGTCTATGACAAATTGTCTGGTCTTCGCTACGAAATGGAATTGGAAACAGCACGCGCAAATTATCCAAACAGACTAGAGAGGTTAGAAGAAGAACGTCTTATGGACATGCCTTTCAATGTTAGTGAACCTCAAGTTGAAGGACACGACGGCTTTGCCAGATTCTATTGGAAACATGACGAACAATTGCATCCTTTGAGACGGAAAAAAGGAAAAGGTGAAGACGCACATGCTCCCATGGAAAGAACAAGATATGCATATGAAAAGTACCGTGAAGTTAGAAGTCAAATTACATCTGGTCGAACCTTTTACAGTAAACTTTGACGAAGGAAAGAACAAAGAAGGCTTCATGGGTGTACTTGCTGCAATTCAAGACGGAAATAAGAAAGGATACAATCTCAGATTGACCATAAAGATTTGGATGGTCACATTTACTATGCATATGGCAATGTCAAACAGCTGCAATGCTTCTTGACGCTTTCAAGACTAAAGAGAGAACAAATGTTTGACTCCGACTCAGACATTTTGAATGCAATTGAAGGAATTGCAAGTGTCAATTCGAATGGTACCAACCTAACCCTCAAGCAGTCAGACAACATGCTGGATACTTCCCCTTCATAAATAAGTCTGACATTGACTTGACAAGGTATGGAATTTACAATTCAATTGAAACAATTGTCAATGAACCTTGCATTCTTACATGTCTCAGGAACTCTGGTCTTGTTACGATGGAAGATGAAGTATCTTGAGTCATGTGTGAAGACAAGGTACATTCTCAGAGGTCAATTGGCAAAAATTGCACCGTTGGCAAATGTCAATATCCGAGTCAACATTCCGACTGAGAAAGGTTCTTCACATGACGACTATGTTGTTGACAAAGACTTACCATGGTTGAAGATTGTAATTTTCCACAACCACTTCATGTTGAACGAAAGTCTTACAAACCCATTGTTCGGAAAAGGCAAGTGCAACATTGTCAGAGCTGTTAACATTCTTTTCGAGAAAGGTTTTGGAACGATTCCAGATGACAAGCTGACAGAAAGTTTTGTACCAAAAAGACGAAAACAAACTTTCACTGTTAGCAAGACAAAAAGTTGTTCCAGACAAAGTTCTAGTACAAAGAAGTACACAGTTCCAAAAGGAGTTGGATTGTTCGATACCAACTGAACCAGAAGAACTTCAATGAGGTTGCAAGAACTTCAAGATGCTATAAACAAACTCCCATTGAGACATCCAATCGACGTCAAATTGTATTGGAGAGCATCAGAGTTAGGTCAGAAGGTTTTATATGAAACAGGTTGCTTCGACGATGTTTATGAGATAACAGGAGAAGTTTCTCAGAGATAAGAGACTCGCTTGAATTTCCAAAAAACTGGTCCGATTGGATGCGATAAGTTCGACTCAGATGAAAAAATATACTATGTCGACCTTAACGCCGCATACATGAGGTTCGTCCAATATATCCCGACTGGAATTCCAAACGAAGATGGTGAGTTCCAGGAAGGAACTATACAGTTGGAAAAGTCATAAACAACTGTATGATATTAGGAAAGCTTCAAACCCCAAACTTGCAATGACATTAAAATTGCTTATGAATTCGACATGGGGATATTCCATTAAGAAACCTCAAGAGATGAAGAGTAAACATTATGAGAAGGTCGACAACTTTGTTGAAAGGTTTTCTCCTTTTGTTTTGAAATACGAATTTACCGAAGGTGAAGTGGCTTAGTAACCACATTAAAACCTATTGTCGAACATTGGTCTTACCCTCAGTTCGCAAAAGCAGTCCTTGACGAGTACAACATTTCTTCTCCGAAGTCAAATCCAAAGTCAAGGTTTACTATGAGAACATCGGACGCACTCATGACGAACGAAGAAGGATACAACAAACTCATTGAAATGGAATGGTCGGTGAAAAGATGGGTCAATTCAAAATTGGACAAAATTTTCACCGAAGTTCATGTCCTCTCCAAGCGTAAGTACTGGGGTGTTAAAGAAGACGGCACAGAAATAAAACATTGCATGAAATAAAAAATTTTTATATTCCTTCCTAGCTAATTTCCGTTTAATTTCATGGTCGCCCTCGGAGTCTTTGAATCGGACAGGTCGAGTTACACCATTCTTGGTCTCAAACTCATATATAACCTGTTTGTCTGTATTTTCGTCGACTATGGCACGAGACACGAACATTGACCAAACGGACAAAAAGTGTCATTTCGGATGGTCCCGCAGCCAATCGCATTCGAGCACTTCGAAGAAGCCTTACGTTCCAAGGGAGAGGGTGTCTGGTGCAAGGCAGAGGTCATGAGACTCTACGAGCAGTACATCCTCAATGCCTGGGAGGACAAATCGTCCTTGGATTGGCAATTCTACCAACTCCTCTGGGACGACCTCCTACGCAACTGGGATGATGAAAGAGTCCAATTCAGAGGTCGGGAGCTAATTGTCCAAATTACCCTTAATTTAACCCACTTAATGAACTAAACACCTAATTTTACTCGGGGTTTCCCCCTAAAATAAAATTTTTTTACTCTTAGAACCACTCGAGGTTCTCCTTACGGTTGTTGAGCTTGTCACCGTCAATGTGTCTGACCTTCGTCTTCTTGTTTGGATTTGGAACCCATTGCATACCGACAAGCTTTCCCATGGAAATTGAACCGTAATTTCGAAGGGTAAGGTTCAAGTGTCCCAAGTTGTTGAGGACTGGGGTAAGAACCTTGCCGGTCTCCTTGTTGCGGATTTTGTATGGGTAGGGTTGGGAAATTTCGTAAGTGTCATCGGCAACAAGGGTTGCCCAAACTTCCTCTTCTTCGTGTTTCTCTTCTTCCTCTTCTTCCTCTTCTTCCTCTTCTTCCTCTTCTTTGATAATACCTTCTTCAATTTGGTACTCACGAATACGGTGTTGGAGGTTCTGTCCTTTCCGAGTACCTTCCAGATGGCGTCTATCTCTTCGAAGAAACGGTAGATGAGTCTGGCAAGGTCTCGGTTCTCTCTCGCGTAAATGCGCAAGGTTTCCGTCAAATCATTCAGGACTTTCTCATTGGAAGCTTGGTTCATGAGGAACTCACCTTTAAGTCCCTTCATCTCTTCCATAAGACTACTTTGGAGAGTCTTAACGGTGTTTGTCAGATGAGCTTTCAAATTCAAAATTTGAATTTGAACTGGGCGCTTGTCTGGCAACATTGAAAGGACATCTGCCATTGTGTTCGGCTTCGGTGCTTGTTCGGACATCGAAAAAATGAAGTGGTTTGAGAATGACGGTTTTACTTCAAAAAGCTTGTTATGACGGTTAAGTCATACAACAAGTTTAAAATAATATCTTGTTCTTCTTCTGAACGTTTGTTGTCTCTTCCGATAAAAGTTTGGAACATGAGAACCAAAAAACGTTTTTTGAGATTGCGGAAGAGTTCAGGCAAACGTTCATATTCTGGATATGTTGGGAGCAGTTCAAAACATCTGAGCTGACTTTCGGACAAAATTGGGACAATGTCAGAAAATTCATCTTTGGTCGGATTGCTTGAAGGTAAGTCCCTTACATGTAAGTAGCTCTGGTAAAGTCTTCTCATTTCTGCTAACTTTTGGAGTATAGCTTCGTAGTTTAGAAGTTTTAATTTTAAATGTCTTATTCCACTCTTGACATCTAAACGGTAACTATCCATGAGGTCAAGAGTAGCTTTGGTAGCTTTAAGTGGAGCTATCTGTTCCTTGACTCCTGCAATTTTGGTTGCAATTGTGATTTGAGCTCCTTCAAGTTCGCCGTCTATGTCGTTCTCAACGTCTTCAAGCATAGCTTGCAACTCTTCATCGGTCCATTGAGTTTGGTGTGGGACGAATTTAACTTGCTTCATTCAAAAAATGAAAAAAATGTTTTTACTCAAAGCGTGCCATGTATATGGCTATAAGAAACTTACCAGAAGGCTTCTTCTTGACATGAGTCTTTGGCAACTTGAGTGTTGGTGTTGGAGTTGGGTCTGGAATTTCAATTCTCTCTCGAGCGCAACAACAGATGTCAGAATAACATTCCCCACTGTCTTTCTTGCCACCATAAATTGTGTATTGACCGAACTTGCATTTGCAGGAAGACCGGTCAATACAAGGTTCACAGTTGAAATAGTTGTACACAAACCTGTTGAGTACGAGTGTGAGTAAAAACATAAAAAAGTGAAGTTAAACGTTAAGGTTTACTGAATTGGTTGGATGTCGCCTTCTGAGGTTATGAAGAACGGCCGTCCTGAGAAGTGGAACAGTGCTCTGAGAATTTGTATAATTCGTGGAATTGGACTCTCTCTGTTTGGAAGTTGTATCCATGGGCGCTTTGCAAAGAACTTGAGAAGAGCTTCTTTCTTCATCTCCTTTATGTCGTCTACAGGAGTTTTTTCTGGTATTTGAATTGGAATTCCGGTTTCAATTTCGATTTTCAGCGCACCTCTTCCAGACAACCAGAAGCCGAGGGACTTGTTGGCTTTGTCCTTGCCCAAGTACTGCTTAACAACTTCATTTATCTCTATAAGGTAAATTGCCTCATCTAATGGCTCGACCTCGTCCATTGCTACTGTTTCAGAACTAGTCTTGTACTTTTTCAGAACAATACTTGTACTGTTTCAGAACTAGTCTTGTACTTTTTCAGTACAATACTTGTACTGTTTCAGAACTAGTCTTGTACTTTTTCAGAACAATACTTGTACTGTTTCAGAACAATACTTGTACTTTTTCAGAACAATACTTGTACTTTTTCAGAACAAATTTCCCGTAAAAGCTCTCAATTTGTGAGAAAAATTTTCTGTTTCAGAACAAGACTTGTACTTTTTCAGAACAATACTTGTACTTTTTCAGAACAATACTTGCACTGTTTCAGAACAATACTTGTACTTTTTCAGAACAATACTTGCACTGCTTCAGAACAATACTTGTACTTTTTCAGAACAAGACTTGCACTGCTTCAGAACAATATTTGTACTGTTTCAAGACAATGTCCGACGTCCCACCAACCGAGTCCATTCCCAAGCCAGAAGAACCTAAAGCACCAGCCCCTGCACCTCAGTTCCAGCAAGTACCTCCACCAAATTACTACCAATTTCCACCTCAAGGTTACTACCAATTTCCACTACAAGGCTTCCCGAACTACCCTCCTCAGCCTATGCCTTACTTCCCCAACCCTTGGATGTTCCAGCAAGCTCCACCCCAGCAATTCCAATCTCAATCCAAGAGAGACCAAGAGTTCGAGGAAGGTCTGAACCGCTTACGCAAAGAGTATGCTACTACCCCAATGGAAGAAGACAGGCTTTCAGTCTCTTCCCTCAAATCGACCGATTCGACTCGTACCACAGATTCGGTTCGTGACCGTGAAGACTACCTCAAGCAGTCTGAGAGACTCTTCATCCTACAACCATTTACAACTGGAGCTCTCAAGAACATGCGCAATTACGAAGGTCAGACACCAGCTGGAGACCGCAAAACAGACGTACTCGCAAGAGCAGTCCAACTGGTCAAGACAAAGACTGAGATAGTCGACTTCATTCTTGCAGCTTGCCCATACAAGTAAAAAAATAAACAATTACGAGTTAAACTTTTTACTCTTTCTTTTCTGAGTTGTTTAGAGCTGGTTTCTCTTGTAGGAACCTTTCGTACTCTTCCATGGTCATGTAATTGCGAATTTGGTACGCAATTCCAGGTTCGTTGTTTTTGAACCTTACGTATGTAACGCTTCCATCCTCCTCAGGGAAGTAAGCTGCTAACATCTGACCAAGTTTTCTCGGTGACTCGGAGCTCATAAAAATGTCACTTTTTAAACGTTAAGTTTTTAGTCTTATTTTACCCTTTGTTTACCCTTTGTTTGTCAAGGTAGTATTGGAGTGCAATTTCTCCAAATTCTCTGTGTCGGAGTTCTTCAGCATTTTCCAAGGTGTTCCTGGAGAACTCAAAGAAGTTGTCAAGAACATACTGCCATGCTGCTCTTCTGAGTTCGTCGGTATTTTGGAAGTGTTGCACCTTCGAGTCTTCGGACATGAAAAAATAACACTTTTTCTATTAAACCGTTTACAATTTGAATTTTGTTGCTGAATTCAGCAAAAATATAATTTAGGGTAGATGGGTATATCTAACCTCTTTTCTAACCTCTTTTCTACCCTCTTGAATTTTCATGAATTTTATACAGAAAATGCTTGTTTTGAGGTCGAGCCACTTTTGGCTCCACCGTATTCTTTCAACCAAAACTCATGAATTCGGCAAAAATATATTTTAGGGTAGAAGGTTAGATATAACCTCTTTTCTAACCTCTTTTCTACCCTCTTGAATTTGTCATGAGTTTTCCCGAAATAAAAAATAAAGTTGGTTTTTTTAAAAAAAATATTTTTTTATTTTTATTGTAAGAACATGTTAGCAACAACAGCACCAAACTCGTTAGTCATGAACCCAACTTCAATGTTAGTAGAGATGAAAAGCTTCATTCCTTCTTCATATACTTTCGAAACAAAAATCCAGAAGATAAAGCAAGAACTTTTAACAAGTACTTTGGACTGTTGTGCGAAAGATGAAACAAATGAACAGTATCTTTATGACATGCAGGACCTCATCGACCATTTACCCAAATTGCCTGAAATCCAGCAACAAAAGCTTACTATTCCAGAATTCGATGAAATAGAAGTCAAAGCAACTGACTCAGTAGAAATAAAGAAGTTCATACGAAAGGTTAACTATGAATTCCTTGGATTTCATTGCAACCACAAAGTCATGGACAAAGATTGCGACATGGTATATAAGAACATCTCTGACATATACAAATCTGGGGAGTTTAAGACCTACGACAACTTTGTTTCGTTAGTTGCAATGTGTATGGCAGATAAGAGATAAAGATAGAAGAGGTAAGATATGGAATGAACAGATAAAACCCGCAACTTTTGAGTTAAAGAGAGCAATTGACGCCTTAGTCATACTAGCAGGTAAGGTTTCAGAATATAACGCAAAAATGAACCCACAATGTTCAAATGTAAAGCAGCAATGAGGAAATATAACTACTCCGTCAAAGAGATAGAACGTATGCGAAACGACTATGCTGACTTAAAGAGGGAGGCAGAGAAACCAGCAGAAGATAAAATGGACATGTTGACATTTCTAAACAAAAACTATCCAACAGCTGACGATTTCCTTCTTTCAGATGTCAAGAAGAAGTATAAAGAAACCTTCGGCATTGTTAAAACATTCGATGTACTGACAGAAGAAATAGAAGCTACGAAATTGTTTAGAATTTCACGAATTCACAATGTTTACCATGTAAAACGCTTATAAAATAACTGGGGTAGAAAAGAGGTTAGAAAAGAGGTTAGATATACCCATCTACCCTAAAATATATTTTTATTGAATTCAGCACAAAATTCTGAGTAAAATAATTTTTAGGGCATGTGTCAAACCGTTGAGTTTTCACAAAATTTTAAAAATAACGTTTACCATGTAAAACGTTTATAAAATAACGTTTACCATGTAAAACGTTTATAAAATAACTGGGGTAGAAAAGAGGGTAGATATCGGGTTAGATATACCCATCTACCCTAAACATTATTTTTATTGACTTTTTACAATTTGAACTTTGTTCGCGTAGATATGAATTCTGAAAGAAGTATGAGGGTCTTGTATGACTTTGTACTTCTCCCATAGTTCATGTCTGTCAAACTTACCTGCCATGGACTCTTTCATAAGTTCCATGAAATCGTCTTCGGACAATCCGGGGAAAAGTACAATGTCAGTAAGTATTCTCTTTACATCCTTACTTAAACTCTTGGCTGTCTGTACACAAATGACAACAGAGATGTTAAGTGTCTGAGCTTCTTAAGAATTCGACACATATCTTGTTCTCTGTTCTTTAACAAAGGATGAGAGGCGAAATCATCTAAGATAAGAAGACATCTGTGAGGGTAAGTCTTCCAATCGTAAGATTGCAATTTCTTCGAAATGTATTCTATCTCTTTCTGTTTGTTTCTGAAGTGTTTCTTCTCTAATATTCTCTGCATTTCCTCATTTGGGTCTTTAAACTTCGAATTGACATACTCATTTATAGCATTGTACTTCAAAACTCTTCTTTGGTACTTCTTTATCCAATCTAACAACTCAGAGTCTTTTATACATACTAACTTAGACTTTTTTATAATATCTTTGAACGAATTTACGGTTTGGTCAAATTGACCAGAAGTACTACAAATGACTACTAACTCATAGAATGGGTTCTTCTCATCTAGTTC